CTAGGGCATGAAGCCAACCACTCAAAACCATCTAGTGCCGAGGTTAAGAATGTGTGAAGTTACACCTATATCTTATGAATTTATAATTCCCTTCACAAGTACTTTCATTATCTATTGCCATGCCACCACAGAGAGGTAACACAATCCATTAAGCATTTACCCAGAAATGAAGACATGGTAGAAATAAACTCTTTTGCCCTACAAAGATTAGTTATGGTCACCTTGTATGACAGAGATAAATGTATAAAACCATGAAAAATATTTTATGTATGAAATTCACTGAAAGAAAGCTGTCTGTTCCTTGGATATCAAACAGAAACCTTTCAAATGTGAAGCACTGCTTTCCTTAGTATTTGGGATTAAAAGTTTAATAATAACTCAGTATTACATATAAATACTAAAATTAAATCGGCTGCTAAGTGTAAATAATCTTACCCCATTTTTTGTATAGGTGCCGGCTTGGTCCGAAGCTGCTTCATATCCGAACCAGATATGGCAGTGACTTGTTCAATGGTCAGGGTGGATTTTGTTGAAATGTCATTACGACCCATAGCTACATGGAAAACGCTGGTCTCAGCCTAAAATTCAAAACCCAGCTAATCAGTAAAAGTAAGAATATGACATCTGTTTTATCCAGTAATCCCCTACAGACAATAAATTAATGAATTAAATAAACCAATACTAACTATTAAGTCTGAAAATCATTGTTTGGCTGTTTATTTATATAGTTGCCATATTCAGTGGAACTGTGACCAATATGAACTTATATAAAGTTGCCACTTTAAGCGGGACAGGATGAGTCATAATGCCATCTCACATTCTTCTGAAGGGGATCATAAACATGTGATATAAAACGATTATAAAACATTTAAGTAACTATCCCCTCCATGCAATACTGTGGACATGAGCACATTCACACACATGCATTGCAACGACACTCGATGTGTTTAACACGTTGGCTCCCGAGCAACTGTTGCCAGGTAGAAATTTCATCCCATGATCCATTAGTGTCCCTAAAATAAATCAGAATTCCTACTTATGAACCATGCAACACTCCAGTGGCTCTCACAGACCTCATATTTCTTGTCCCAACTGTGGTGTTAAGAAATGAATTATTTCACTATACAAAGACTGAGCCTCCAAACAACGGTACAGTCCTGTGACCGACTGGTGTCGCATGGTACTGATACTAATTCATATGAGACCCAAATCTAAACCTCATGGTAGTCAAATAATTTTGTGTACGAACATTCGTCCATGATAGAAACTTATGAATGTTTATATTCACTTTCCCAAATTTGGTTGCACTATCACACAACTAAAGAGACATGACTTTAAGTACTTACCGTATAAATCGAAGACTCTTTTAGAGTATCAGACTCAGGGAGAGAAGGAAGACGAAAAATTACCTGTAAGAAAATAATAAAAAAGTTCACGACTACTGATGGGGAGAATAAACAACTTCATAAGAAAACAAAAAGAACAATCTTGAAGTTCCCGGCAGCGAGCACGTAACACAGATCAGACTGCTTACCAAGCAGCCCTGAGGATGAGAGCAGAGATTGTTCTCGAAACGTTGGCAGAAGATATGGTTTATTCACCGTTCGGCCACCTGACGCAGCTCGTGACCTGGAAGCCTTTCATCGAGTAAGCGTAACTTCAGGAACATACTGTATCTTGCCACTCTGTAGTTTTCAAGCAATTTCTCAACCTACCGTCAGTAATTAGGCACAATGTGGCTGCCCAGAAAGTTGTCAACAACTAATCCACACTGTTTCTTGGATCCTTCTGATGACCAACAATGATCCTTTCTGCACTGCACCGCTGATCCACAGGAACTACTGCTACAGATACCAAAAATCTTATCCATTCAGGGTCCTGGCCTTCAAAAACAATTTCTGTAGTCCAAGTCTGACTATTTTCTGTGGATCTACAAGGAGCGATTTGGATTTGGATTTGTCATACAAAATGTTAGCAACTACATTCCACAACATTAACACAAACCTCTGTTTGAAATATCCATTACACTGAGAATGGTGCTATTATTCACAGGGTTGCCATAAAAACAAATCAGAACTTCCAGCTATAACGAAAAATCCTTATTTAATGAAATGTCCCCAATCACAAATTATTCTTGTAATGAACAATGATGAATATCTCAAAAAATAAAGGTGGCAGACGAAAAGCAAGGTCATATCTGGGAAGCAAATATTTGTTTATGACTGAAGGTTAATTCCAAAATTTCGACACAAGGACACAATTTTTTGCAGGATCTGGACATGTCTGCTTACACATTCTACTTATAAAGCATTCTTATTGCTTTGGCCAACAGGCATTCCAGCAACTCAGTTAAAAAAGATTTTAATAAACTCACAACATGCTCCTCTTCAGTACTGGAACTCTCTTCCGGAATTGTTTCAGGGAAGATTGTGTCCTTGGGTGAGGACAACCAGTTCTGAAACAGGACACTCATTCCTTCAAACCAATTTACAAATCACTGCAAAGCTAAGTAACATCTAGAACACAATGTAATTTTGTTTAAGTATTTACTTAAGAAGGCACATTTCTCCCTCACTAATAAAGTCTGCCTCATTCTTTATAACGTACTAACTAATCCTGTCATTAAAACCCAAAACTGTTATTTCATATTATTATCCCGTGCCAGATCAATCCAAATTACAACAGCAACTCCATTGCCTTTATGTCCATTTTAACATTATCCTCCCACCTTTGTCTTGATCTCCCAAGTTGTGTTTTCCGACAGGTATCCCCATCACATTTAAGCCAATACAATCAATTATGAGAGGTGTTTGAGGCAGATACTGAAAGTATTTCTCACAAAACTGACAGTCTCATCAAGATCCCACAATGCCAAGCATTCTATGCAAAGTTTAACTCAAGGTTTTGATGAAAGTGTTATGACAATTAGTGACAACCTCGCTCTCCCAACATTATTCCAAGCAATTTATTCTTGTGAATATATTTAAAAACCAAAGTCCATTAAACCAATCCACACATAGAAGAATAATTCAGGAATTACTCAGTTTGCAGTGGCCCATACATCCAGCTTGTGAACCACAATCTGTTTAGAAAGCGTGGGGAATGTATCCTGTAACTCAAGGAGTAAATTTCACACCATGATGTCGCTGTACTGTCATACCAGCCCCAAGAGACAAAGCAGGAAAACTGGAAACAAATACAGCAGCTGGACAAATCTCAGCTATAAGGATGGATTACTTTCCATGTTCATGCAACTTTTGTTTTCTAACCTCCTCATCTCCTGGTCGACACTCGACACGAATAACTCCAGCCTGATCAGAGAAAGACACGCTCGCTGACTGGCTTGGTGGACTCTCTGTACCCATGAAACCTTCTTCACTCGAACATTTTCCTGTTACATAATTAAGACCCTTGTTATAAAGGCAGCAAACTTCCATACTCATTTATCTGGCAATATAACTTTCAAAATGTTCGAGCAACACCTGTAAGAACTGCACACAGCTATTAGCTGTAAGTACACAAGTTACGCTGAGAACTTTATCGTCACTTACGACCAAGAAATACGTCACCAAACTGTGGCAGGGGGCACTTCAACATCTTGGCCCAAAGTGCTTGTGGCTTGGGTTTCACATGAGATGTGAAACAGGCCGTGTCAGGATGCTGGTATTCCCACATTGCTTGCCAAATCTTCAACCCATTTTCTAGACGGTAGTTCTGAAAGTCTGACTCCTTCAAATGATGACAGATTGGTGCAAAAAGATATATAAACAGCTGTTGAAAAATCAGAAATGTTGCTTCAGTTTAGAGGAAATATTTTATTAATTACGTGATATTTATTTAAGACATAAAACATGGTTATAATCTAAGAGAATTTGAAGGATGTTTAAAAGTTGAATAAGAACAAATCTCGGAGGGAAGGTAAGAGCGCTCCTGCTTGGTATAGTTGGATTCAGGGTGGCTCAAGAAAAAATACAGACGCGCGTACATGTCACTCCGCTGACTCTGTAAAGTAGCCACGTAAACCTTAAATTAGTTCACATGCATTCTGTATCCAGAGGTAACATGACCAAGTAATAATTGTATGGTAATGTCTGCTTAAACATATGACATACTCCCACACATGGAGTACTTACTGAGATGGCTGGGATGGAGAACAGGTAGTAGAACGGCGAAGCGTGGTAAATCCCTTTTTCATAGTCAGCATCAGCACACTCTTCCGCAGCATCTAGGACAATCCAGTGTAACGTGTACAACAGTTTAGTTTCTGCTGCTCCAAGATTTTGTAAGTTGGTGTCTTTTCTGGAAATGATAACAAGCGAACACCAAACTATAATTTTAAACAGAATATAAAACTATAAATATAACATGTGCAGTTCAGTTCATTCTTTAATTTACTCCGAATCCCAGGTGGGAATTTAGTTGATAATCAAGATGACAACAAAGAGACGAGATCAAATTGATGATAATTATAATATATAATGTTATTCTAAGCAACAAAATATGCCTTAAACTTTAATTAAAGACTTATTTACTTACAGTTTATTTAACAATTCTTAAGTTAAATTATGAGCCGGGATAGCTCAGTCAGTATAGTGACTAGTT